GGACGCGAGTGTGAGACGTATGGGACGCGAGTGTGAGACGTATGGGACGCGAGTGTGAGACGTATGGGACGCGAGTGAGTTGGTGAGTGAGGCGCGAGTGTGCGACATGTGTATGTGCCGCGAGTGCGGTGTGAGGTGTGGCGTGTGTGTTGTGCGCGCGCGCGCGCGGCCGTCTGCCGGCGCGCGCGTCTGCCGCCAGTGGTGACCGAGTGGTGCGCGGCGAGGGACCAGGAGCGCGCGCGGCAGGCCCTCAGTGCTGTGATCATGGTCGGAGCCGCGGCGGCTCCAGCGTACAAAGACGGCCCGGCGTCCGCTCCGGGCCGGGCCGGGGCCAAATCGGGCGGGCGTGTAACACCTCTCGGCCAGTGACGGGACGCGACACCAGTGACGGCGGCTCGACCGCCTCCAAATTGTAACGGGAGGGGGGACGGGTGTCTGGCTGCTGTGGGGCTCAGGGGTCCCTGCCGGACGGCCATGCGGTATCTAACGAAACGGACCCGCCGAGCTCTCTTTGGCCGACGGGCCGGGGCTGTTTGCGACCAGGGACGTGTTTCGGCCAACCGTGATAAAGTGATAGTAGTGTGCCGCCGGCAGCGGACGGGGACGGGTCAGCGGAGAGCCCGCCCGGCTCTCCCGGATGTAACTACGGACTTGAAAAGAGGCGTGTCTGCGGTTTTAGGCGGAAATCGTTGTGCTGAGACCTGAACATGTTGTCTGGGTTCCTGACCCTCTGGGTGGTATTCTCTTCTGACTTGTGTAGTGCTCGTTTGTTGCGGCCAATAAAGTGAAATCGCCTCCAGGCTGCCCTGTTGCCGTCGCTCCGCGATGGGACTGCCGGACTGCCCGTCCTGGGGGCCCGGCAGAGCTGCGTCGGCGCCCCGCTCCTGCAGGGCCCGGCCGTGTGGAAGGAGAGGGCTCCCGTCACAGTGCAGCCATTGGCGGGCAGAGTCCCGTCACTGCACCCGAGATTCGGACTGCACGGGGTCGGCGCCACCTCTGTGTGCCTTGGGTGGGGTGCGATCGCTTCAATTTGGCTGTATCCATCATTCCCCGCGCCCGGCTGGGTCTCGGCCAGCTTCACAACGGGGATTAACACGCGCACTGACGGGGGGGATATCCGCCCCCCCCCCCTGAGGTTTTTCGCGGATAGCGGGAAAACCGCGGCGCGTAGCGCCGCGAACTTTGGTAAGACTATTCTCTCATCAATTTACACATGGTGTGCACTGTGCAAGTTTGAACCTCCTAACTTTTAACCCTATTCCTGGCGGGGGGGGGGGGGCCTCAGGAGCCCCCCCCCCCTGAGGTTTTTTGGTTATTTCTCCCAAACGCGTTGAGCTAGGAAGCTCAAATTTTCTGACTTTTCCTAAAAGGCTTCTACGCAACATGTCTGAAAATTTTGAGTTGATCTGACTTCAGGTCAGGTCACCAGAGGCGGTTTGGTGACCCTACCTCAGAAAAGTTTGCAATCACGCCAGAGCTAGAGTTTTTGACCGATCAATTTCTTCTCTTCAGGCTTTAGTTAGGGTACCAGTATGTGCAATTTGTATATCTCGGAATTTTGATATCGGTGACCTAAGGTCAGGTCAGTTTCGCGACCTCCCCATTATAAGTCAATGGGGGAAAAATCAACTCCCTGTTTTTACCACTAAAACGGGTCGGAATGGCCCCATATACCATACATGACTTCATATACGATCAACCTTCACTACCTTGAGGTCTGTTTTGCTGTTGGGCAGCTGTGAGGTCATGTGACGTCATCAAAGGTCAGCAAAGGTTTTTGGCCAATAACTCCGTACAGGAACAAGACACAGACGCGTGCATGGTCTCATTGTGTTCAGCTCGTCAAGACGCATCGAATGATATACATGATGACCTCGAGGTCACGTGACCTGAGGTCAACCTTTGACCTTGACCTTTCGAGGTCAACATATATATCATTCGATGCGGATTGACGAGAGGATCACGATGATGCCCTTAGTTTGTTCCTATCTTGACTAATTCGAAAGTTATTTGAGAAAAACTCTCCATATCTAGCGCCGCCATTTTGACTTTTTCGACCCCTGTGACGTCATCTTTGACCTGACCTGAAAATGACCTTGGTAAAAATTTTAGACCTTGTCCGTGCGTATCCGATGCCGTTTACCGCTTGTCGCTATCTTGCTTCGTTCTCGAGATCTCGGGGGGGGGGGGCGGTCATCCGCCCCCCCGTCGGTGCGAAGTTGGCGCAGACCCCCGTCGCTGCGCGTTAAGGGCCGCATCCGATTAGCTAGTAAACTGAGAAATGGAAAGACGATTGAAAAGTGATTAAAAGCTGTGACGAGCGGCAGTCATTTCTTTTTTATAAATGTGCGAATAACTCCGAAGCGTAGCGGAAAGAAGCTCATTCGATGACACTTTATTTTGTTAGTTAAACATTTAAGCCATTAAAGCCATTAACCCTCTAGTGCCCCCGGTATCATATCTGTAAGTCAATTTGCAGAAAATTCGCCTGCTAATTATAGGGGTGAAAATTGTTGAAAACCCTGCTGTATCAGAAGTGGTACGTTTTGGCAACCACCTGGTGGCAAAATTTTTAAGTAATGATTTCTCAGTTTCCCACCAGGTGATTTTGAAGAGGGTCAGTTTGTCCTTTGCCGAAAATCAATTTGAGATGCAAGTGTAAATTTAAGCATTTTGAAAACAAAAATTAGTTATTTGGAAAGAAACTTGGTATACTGTGAGACAAATGTTCAACATATATCATAGTATGTTGCAAAACATCGCAACTTTTTCAGGGTCAAAGATATGGACCCCTATTTTTGGGGATACTAGATATGATACAGTGGGCATAGCACTCCAATATTTTCTATGAAATTTTCGCCGCTGCAACATACGGTGTGCCAATACCATAGTTTTCTCAGGTGATAAGCATTGCAATGGCCTGTGAGTCATTGCAAATGACGATGGTACAAGATGTGTGGTAACCACGTGTGTCGCCGGCCGGCACGGGAGTTCCCGGCGCAGACCGATTCGCGCGCCGACTTGTGACGTCGCTACCCCGCCCCGGCGCTGGGGAGGCGGCCCAGGACGTGTCTGTTCGTGAACTTTGTCCCATCACGATGCGACCGCGTGTCTGCGGCCTGCGCTGCCGCAGTGCGTCGGCCAGTGACCAATCCGCGCTCCGATCGGCAGCCACGTGGTGTCCGAGTGTTTCTGCGCATGTCTGGGGCCCAGCCCGCTGCGTCGGGCCGCGCGCTCCGCTCCCCCGACATTCTAGGCCGAGCTCTTGACCCGAGCAGACGCGTCACGTCTGGCTCCATTAGGCCCGTTCTGTCCGGGATTTATAACTTAGATTAGGCAGGGCATATTTGGCAAACTTGGATTTCATTCTCGTCTCTTCGTCGCTCCATTGTCTGATTCGCTGTTTTGGTTTTTGACTTCTTTTTGGTAATTTAAATATAACAACCCGCTCTTTTAATTAATTCTTTTACTTGGGGCCGTTTGGATCGAACTGATTGAATTTTTGGAACACGCACCAGGTTGATATTCTCCATTTCTGATTAACGTAAAATCCAGTCACTGATATGTGGTGAACAGCCCCACAGCACCACATATTGGTGACCCGACGTGATTCTTGTTCGATTTTTTCCATACTTCCGGGTTGTCGCCTCCGCTCATTCCCGAATCAATTATTTCATTTTATTCCCCCACATGGATTGCTATTCCGTCGCTCCACAGTGGCTTCTGCGCCACTTTTCCATGATGGTTTCTGTGCCACCTCTCCGCCGTGTGATTAGTTAGGCATTTATCTTCTCGGTGATTTTATTTCGGCGTTCCATTGGCTCTTTCGGATTTTGCACTCGGTGTTTTAAATTTTAATTGTTCAGTGCATTGCAAACACCGGCTATACTTTAACGATCATGACGAACGAGGGCACGATGGAACCCGCTCATGCTGAGCCGGTCCATCATGTGTCGATCAAGCCGCCGGTTTTTATGGACACCGCGGTTGACGGCTGGTTCGCTATTATGGACGTCCAATTTAACATTGCCAAAATCACCAACTCGCAGACCAAATTCTACCACGTTCTCTCTGCCCTGCCTCCGGAAACCATCTCGCACATTCCGCGTGCTGTCTTGAGCAACAAAAATTTCTCTGAGCTACAGACAGCCGTCACTGACATGTACGAAAAGACAAAGCCAGAGATGTTTGAGAAACTGATCAGCAAAACGCGTCTGACGGGCCGACCCTCACTCTTTCTAAGCGAACTCAGAGAGGTGGCCGACAAGGTTGGTGTCTGAGACGATCTCGTTCGGCACAAATTTATCCAGTCGCTACCTACAGGCATTGCTACGGCCCTGGCTTCTCAGCGCGAGCTCTCACTGTCGCAGTTGGGCAAACTCGCGGACGAACTGATGCCTCTTGTGCAAAACTCAGCTGCTAACATGGTTCACTGTCAGGATCAGGACCCACAGTCTGACTCACAGGCGTTCCTTGTGGCTCAGCAGCACCCAAGGTACCACACTGAAAGCAAATCTGACCGGCTTTTGTTAGTAACAGTAAAGTGGGCCTAGAATCACTACCCTTTTACCAACCATTTACCATCACGGTACTATGCTCTTACTATCCCAGTACCATGTTTACTATCCCAGTACCACGTTCATACTATCCCAATACTATCCCAGTGCAAGGTTTTTACTATCCTAGTACCACGTCTTTACTATCCCAGTGCCACGGTATCACGTCTTTACTATCCCAGTACTACGCTCATACCACCCCAGTACCAGGTTCGTACTATCCCAGTACCACGTCTTTACAATCCTAGTACTGCGCCAATACTACCCCAGTACCAGGTTCATACTATCCCAGTACCACGTTCGTACTATCCCAGTACCAAGTTTATACTATCCCAGTACCACGTTTATACTATCCCATTACCACGTTTATACTATCCCTATACCACGTTCGTTCTATCCCAGTACCTCGTCTTTACTATCCCAGTACCACGTCCATACTATCCCAGTACCACGTTGCACACACGTTTCAGAAAGGTCGACTGATTTTTATTGGATGACGTTTCACGAAGAGCAATGGTTTTCCGCGGCGCCTGCTGACTCGACGCTGCACAGTGCAGCGAGAACACCTACATACGCGCACGTACACACGCCGCACCAATCGATGTACATCCCACCGTCGCTTGAAAAAAAAAACATCAGAAACATACGAACTACAATCGAGGAACGAGGCACTTCTGAACCCCTGACGCTTAAATCGCCTGCGTGCGCGCGCATGGCTCAGCCGCAACTGCAGCGGCGCAATCGCCTCCTGCGTGCGCGCGCATGGCCCAGCCGCGACTGCGGCGGCGCAACAGTGCGCATCAGCAAACAACACGACGACAACGACGCACGAACGTTCCGTCTAAAAGTGACCGCGGCGCCCGACGATGCTGGCGGCGCGCAGCCGACCAGCCCTCTGAGATGAGTACATGAGATGGCAGTGGACGGCGTTACTCTTGCGGCTTGCACTTCAGCAGGTTCTGCAGCGCGGCGCCCTTCGGTTTAATCTCATCGCTCCTCATTCCAAAAACCTCGTTGTGCAGAAACCAGACGAGGGTCTTGTACTTGGTGCGAGGCTTCTGGTTGAACACGTAGAAGCTCACGCCGACCAGCAGCAGCGCCTCCTCCAGTGTACTGCACCTGGCCACCTCGGTGCGTTCCACCAGTACAGACCATTCCCGTTCCGGGGCCTCCTGGGCGTGCGGGTAGGCAGCTCCCTCCTCGTCCCGGATGATCACTTCTTCTTGGTCGATCAGCCGGAGCAACGTCTCGGCAGCGTCCTCTGGAAAGCGGGAACAATATTCCAGGTTGGTACTTCATATGTGAAGGGAGGGGAGAGAGAGGGAGATGGGGGAGGGAGATAGGGGACAGAAAGAGAGAAAGAGAGAGAGAGAGGGAGAGAGAGGGAGAGAGGGAGAGAGGGAGAGAGGGAGAGAGGGAATGAGGGAGAGGGAGAGGGAGAGGGAGAGGGAGAGGGAGAGGGAGAAGGAGAGAGGGAGAAGGAGAGAGGGAGAGGGAGAGGGAGAGGGAGAGAGAGTCTCTCTCCACCCTCTCTTCCAACTTAGGGTAAGAGGTTTAGCAGCGAGCCAAAGTAGAAAGGTCGTTTTATTCAAAACGTGCCGTCATTGTTAAGGATATGTGGAAGCCGTCGTTGAAGCCACGAACATGTCTGGATGTCAGTTGGTAACACCTATCCATATGCATATCACCAGCAAAACAATGATGGAACTTTGCAAGTTACAGGCGTCGACATGCTACGGAAGGTCATTCGCGAAAAAAAAAACTTTTTTAGAATGACAAGTCATTCGTTCGCGAGTTATCAGCGCAAAACCGGGGGGGGGTGCAACCCCCTACACTGGCGGGGGTTTAGTTAGCAAATGTACACATACCGCGTCTGCATTCCGTTTGGGCCATGATGCCCGCTAGCCACGTTTTCAGACCTTCGCTGAACTTCTCCCTCAGGCCAACTTGTACTGACAGCAGCTCCATCTCCTTCCAGAGCTGTGGAGAACACATTCGTCATGTTGAGAGGGATACATAAAGCATGATTAGACCAGTTAAAAATAACAGACTTTTAGCAGGTTTTCCCCCGGTACCTTCCCATTGGTTTGAAGAACACTGGCCGCAGTAGATAACTAGTAAATAACGCCGTACCGAGCCAAGCTGAACCGAGCCTCGAGCCAGCCTGAGTGAAGCCGAGCTTCGAGCCAATTATTAACAGGATCTCTTCTATTCTATTATCTATTAACCAGGATATAGACAGATCTATTCAGGATTTTGACGCTTCAGTAAAAGCTCGGCACTTTTTTGGTGCCTGACTCGGATTTTCTACACTGCACTGTAGGCCCAAACTTTCTCATCATGGAGCATGACTCTGCTCCTCGATTGTATGCAGTTACATTTACTACTACACAACCAATTCAGTGTTGGTTAGCAGATGAATTTACATACCTCCTCTGCACCAAACATGAACGGGAACCTTTTCTAACCAAATAAATAAAACCATGACAGCATGCTGTACCAAATTAGTTCTGAAAAAAATTGCACCACTTTAATTTCTCACCAAATTGGAATCCGACAGATTTCATTTGGGCACACTGTGGTGATTCTGTTTCATGTGATTTTTTTGTAACGGTGTTCCATAAATAGAAATGCTGAGGCAATTGTTCCAAATAGGGATACACTGTATTTCTATATTTAGAAACAAAAGGTGCATGCTCACCTGTTTGATGAATTTTGCAAGCTCTGGCTAAATTTTGCACATATATCTAGTTTCCAGCAGTAAAAAGCCAACATTTGAGTCTATATTCCATGGTTGGGTTCATGACAGATGATTTGATCTTGGGTTCGTGCAAAATGTGGAAGAAACCACAGCACGTTACACCATTTCCATTTATAAACATGCGTTCCCAAATACCTATACAAAGGTGATGGTGTTGAATTTCAAATGGTATTTACAATACAAAAATTTACAAAGCAGGTGAAAATTTGAGTTGAGTCCCAACCATATGTTGATGCCAGTTGTGGGCCGCCATCCTGACAGTTGCATTGTGCATGTACAATTAAGCTTGAAAATAGATACCTATCCTGAAAGGTCAGTGACTCTATTTATGGAACAAGCATTACCATTTATGGAACAAAACATTTCATGTTCAGAAATGTTTCCAAAGAAAGAAATGCTTCTATATGTGGAACAGAATTACCAGTCACAGTGTGTCCAACTGATTTGCAACTCCAGCTTACACAGTACACACGACATACCTAACCTGGTATTGGTAGTGCAACAGTCTGCAAAACGTGGCAGGTTTCAGTTTCGACGAGATCTCGTCGGGGCAGATATCATGGATCGGGGCAGAAATTGGGGCAGGTTTGAGGAATGTTGGGGCAGAAACTGGAAAACCTGGGGCAGAAGTTGAAAAATTGGGACAGAAATGGGTATATGTCAAGTTTAGGTCCTAACTACAATTGTGGCGCTTTTGATACGAATATGAAACAGCAAAAAGTTTAGGTTTTAGGTTAGGTTAGGTTAGGTTGTAGGTTTGTAGGTTTTAGGTTGTAGGTAGGTAGGTTTGTAGGTTAGGGTAGGTTTGTAGGTTGTAGGTTGGTAGGTTATAGGTAAGTAGGTAAGGTTAGGTCAGGTTTGATTATGTTTTTTCTTTTATTTGCGAGACATATGAGTATCATTTTTGGATTCAGGATGTCAAATAATGTAAGAATATGAAAAATTTATCAATGAAATCTTCTTAGGACTTAAACTTGACATTTACCCAGAAATGCTCAGCTTCACACCACCTCCCACATCAATATAACGTTAGATCATTCTCTCATTATTAGGGGCAGCAGTTGAGCTGCCCCAGGTCTCAGCATTCTTATTTGGGGCAGGACTTTGTCTGCTCCGAAAATCTCGTCGAGCTCCCTGCCACATTTTGCAGACTGGGTAGTGCAGGCGTCACCAAATTTTAACAATTCAATAACTCTTTTATTATTAAAAATAAATCAAAATATCACTAAAATAAAATTTAGAGAATCACAAATCCTACTTATTAATGTGAAGAAATAAAAAAATGGTCCAAAAACACAGCAGATATGCCTTTTGGACAAATTTCATCACGCATACAAATGTTTTCGGATAAAACATTTTCCTAATTTTTCAATGATTTTTAGCTCGGAAAAGTCCTATAATATGTAGGTAACTTGTGGCTCTGAATAACTTAGAGCAAAATTTTCACTGTGCCTAGGTTTGGTTAGGTCAGGTCAGGCTTTAATTTAGTTTGGTGACACCCGCCCCACCCATACTACTCACCAGAGCTGGAGCTGCGTGATGAACCTTCAGAACAAAGATGCTCATACACAGTGCACAGCAAATTTTAAGTCCAACAACTTCTAAAATATCATATACAGCTTTCAACTCACCGCAAATGACGACTCTTCCCTCTCCCACTGCAACACACAACAACCGACGCAGCCCCGTAGCCCGCCGCGGCACGCCGCGGCTCTCGCGCGCGCTCGCTCTGCAACGGTTCGCACAGGTGGTTGTGTGGTGGTAACAAGTTGGCAGCATTGTCACAGTATGGTAGGAACTACCACGCTTGTACGATATTTCTACCACAATTTGTAATAGTTTTTGACATGGTATTTGGATGGTACTTGAACTTTATCATACTGTTACTATTTTTTTCAACAACCAATCGTAAAGCACTCGTAGCAGAATGGTGTGCCCTACTAAAACAATGGTAAAAGCGCATTTAGTACCAGGCTTTTACCAATTTTTGAAGCAAATAACGCTGGTAAGCAATTGATATTTATTCAATAATGGTATCGATGTAGTACATTTTGTTTTCAGTGCACAGGGCCATTCAGCCGCAGAGCCGAGCCGCCACACACTCCCCTGCTCGTGATGCTCGTGATTCAAGGGCGTCTCTCGGTCTCACGCCGTTCCACCCTGACCAGAAGCCGAAAGTATGCCGTGCTCACCTGTTTTTCGGCAGCCGAGCACGCACTTGCAAGCCATGGTGTCACTGGCCCGACAAAGCTGCTGATCTGACCATGCAGCCGTCCTCACGAGCTGCATCTCCCTCCCGTGCAGCCTCAGAGTCGGGAAACGAGAGGAGCAGGCCGTAAACGCAGCCCTCGGCCTGCCGCTCCTTAGGGTAACAGCCAAGGTGAATGATCAGCCCCTGAAATTCATCGTGGATACTGGCGCTGGTGTATCCCTGGTTCCACCCTCCTATGTGAATGGAACTATAATCCACCCGTCCGCTGTTTCGATCACGACTGCCAGCGGGCAGCCACTGCGCGTGCATGGCGAGGCCACTCTCGATATTGTCCTCCCCACACTCAGACGCAGTTACACATGGACATTTGTAGTGGCTGAAGTGACAGAGCCGCTACTCGGTAACGATTTTCTCGCTCACAACTCGTTGGTTGTCGATTGTGGTTCACAAGTTCTCCGCGACTCCACCACTCTGCTCTCTGCTCCCGGTGTACCGACGACCGGGCAGTCTGTTCATTTGGTGATAAATGATCTCGCTCAGGTGCCTGAGGCAGTGCGGCCCATCCTAGAGGATCACCCCGCTGTTCTCAGCCCTAACCAGCCGGAGTACACAGACTCGCCAATCAAAACCACTCACTTCATCGACACCGGCAGCGCTCCACCCACGTTCGCCAGCCCACGCAAGCTGCCGCCCGACAAACTAACTGCAGCAAAGCAAGCACTCGATGTGCTGCTCAAAACAGGAGTGATTCGTCCTTCTAAGTCCCCGTGGGCCTCACCCATCCACATGGTTCCGAAGAGTACTCCTGGTGAGTGGCGTGTCACCGGTGATTACCGCGCGCTCAACGCCGTAACCAAACCGGACCGCTACCCACTGCCGCACATTCAGAGCCTCTCAACCAAGCTCCACAACGCTCAGAGGTTCAGCAAAATCGATCTGCTCCGTGCATATCACCAGGTGCCTATGAACCCCGCTGACTCAGAGAAGACGGCCGTCACCACGCCCTTCGGCTTGTACGAATACACCTTCATTCCAATGGGGCTTCGCAACGCAGGTGCCACATTCCAGAGGGTCATGGACGGCATCTTCCGAGACGTGCCGTGCGTGTTCGTCTATCTCGACGATATTCTGGTATTTTCCGAGAACCAGGAGCAGCATGAGAAAGATCTGCGCCTCGTGTTCAGCAAGCTGGCTGAGCACAAGCTTCGCATCTCACTGGAGAAATGCGAGTTCATGAAGAAGTCACTCATTTTCCTCGATCATAACGTCACCAGCACAGGTGTCACACCTCCCAAGGCCAGAGTGAAGGAGATTCTGGACCTCCCTCTACCGCTTGACTCAGAGTCACTGCGTCGCTATCTGGGACTCATCGGCTTCTACCGGCGTATGATTCCGCGATTCGCCGATGTCACGTTCCACCTGACCGAACTGATTCGACTCAACCCAAAAAGCAAAGAACTGACGTGGACAGAGGAACAGACTCAGGCGTTCAGTGACAGTAAAGCAGCGCTGGCTGGCGCCTGCACTCTGCCACACCCAGTGCCACACTGCGAGCAGTACGAGCTCGTTACTGACGCATCACAAGTCGCGGTGGGTGCCGCGCTCCATCAGATTGTGGACGGAGTACCCGTTCCCATTGGCTTCTTTTCACGGAAGCTCAGTCAGGCCCAACAGAAGTACGCCGCGTATGACAGAGAGCTACTCGCGGCTTATCTGGCCACACTCCACTTTCGTGACATGATCGAAGGCCGCCACGTTACCCTGAGAACGGACCACAAGCCACTCGTGCGCGCTTTTCACAGCCCGCACACGGCTAAGTCTGACCGCCAACAGCGTCACTGGTGTGTCGTCACGGAATACATCACGGAGGTCTCGTACATTCGTGGCAGTGACAACGTGGTGGCGGACTGTCTCAGTCGCCCGGTAAATGCAGTGTCCCTCGATGCATGTGACCTCCATTTTATCGCGGCGGCTCAGAAGCAGGAAAAGGAGGGGGACGCCGACAGTGCCGATTCAGAGCACCAGGATTCCGAGTCAGGTCCAGGATCGCGCTCAAACCCGCAGGACACCTCCCGATTGGAGCCAGTAACACTGTCTGGCGACCTCACAGTCCTGTGTGAAAACACTGGACCACATCCACGCCCGTACGTACCAGAGGCGTGCAGGCGCGCCGTGTTTGATCGTTTCCACGGCCTGTCACACCCGGGTAGGAAAGGCACCACCCGTCTCATCAGCTCTCGCTATTTCTGGCATGATTCATAAATTTGTGAAGTTCGCACCTCTTGCGCCAGATAGGTAACTCTATTTCGCTCCAGACTTAAAATGTCCTAACGATATTGGTACGCTTATGCCGCCTCTCATCCTTGTCAATCTTCCAACATCTAGCTTTCTATGAGTGGCCTTACATGCCTCATACATCTCGACTTTTCTAACGCTCATAGGAATATGGTTTTGCAACTGTTTGACGATGACAATAGTGAACTTTTTGATCTGCAGGACACTAGCAGACCTGTATTCTAGCAGGGCCCGCAGGTCTTCTAAAACCACGTTAGGAATGACATGCTATCGATGACAAGCTTGTTGATTTCAAGGAACGATCATCCGTGCGAGCATTTATACTCGTGAAACCAAAAATTGAGACTTGATGTTAGGGACAGGAGGATTCAGCGGTCTCTTGCACAATTTCGATATTCCAACAGGGGTTGTGGACGGGCTTATTTATGTCTTGTGGGTCTATGTGTTAGCTGGGCATGGCTGAAGACTTGCATTAGCAGCCAGCCAGCATTTTTCATTCATATTGGAGAACGACTCACAATTTGTTTGCGATTCAAATCTCCTCCGTTCATCCCAGTAGTAAGAGATTGAATGTGGAGTGGAAAACTATATCGTCATCTTCAGAGGAAGCTGGCTAAACGGGCTCGCCATGAAGACAGACTCCGGACCGAAGGCCGTGGTTCCTTTGATTTCCTATCTAAGAAGTAGGCAACCATGCACTGCTGCCAGGTTCCAGCAGGTGCCTGACACCTGGCAAGCATTTTCACTGCCAGGCATGTCATTTGTTGTCATATATTGACATATACCGCCAACTGTGGTAGCTGAGTGCCACTGAACAAAAAGGATTTATAGGTACTAAAACATGGATACTACTTTTGTACTGACCACAAGAATAAAAGTTAAAGTGCGGCATTGCGTATTGCGTATGCTCACCTCCATATGAGGTCAATGAATATTGTGCAAGTTCCTGCCGATCGGTGCACAGTTACCTGTACCTTTGTTGTCTGACACGTACAACGGTTCTTGCACTGGTCAGTGCGCGGCTGTTATACTGGCGCCGATGACATCAGGACCGCACGACCAGTCAAAGTACTAACTGACGATTCACAGGCTGAGAGTTTCAGTCACCCGAGATTGTCCGGCTATCATGAAGATAAACCAACATCGTCTTTGGCATTGATTCCGGTCCGTCGGCAGGCTGACCAGCATTTTGCATCAGAACTGCTTCATTTCAACTGCACTTACCGCGAGCCAACTGTAATGTCTTCATTTCTATATCAAGTATGCATAACGCATCTACGTTTGAGAAGCACGGCCCACATGTCTGAATTATGAAAAAATTGCACAAGTGCAACGCGCTGTATCGTGGAAATTGAAGGAATAGAAGGCACTCGTAAATAGATGCCTATGATTAGCGTTATGTCTTGTTGGCATTTTACACAATTTAACTGCCACTTTTATCACTGCAATTTTTAACGTTTTCTCATCTATGTCTTCACTTCCTTCTGTGTGGTCTGATACCACTAAAAATTACCAAGTGGAATGCCCAATGTATCATATTTGATACAAAATTTATTTCCGAAATTTGAACTGCGAAAAAATATTTGACTCCAGATTTCGAACAAGGGACCCAAAATGAATCATATGTCACAAGGTGCTAATTTTAGGAACCGTGGAACTATGTGTGGGCATTAGAGGGTTAAACATTAAAGCCCGCACATGCCATTTTCCCATCCTAGAACGCACATATGGGGGTGGTTGCCACCACCCCCGCGCCATTTCGTTCCTGTTGGAGATAGAGCTTAGCGATAAAGACCAAAAAGATTCTTTGGGAAGAGACGAATCCAATGATACCCAGTTTTACCTTCTCAGGTCAGTCATTGACCTTCCAGGTCAGGTCAAACTAAAAAATGTTCTGTTTTGGGTCACCGTTGGATATCAAGTGCGCTGCTCATCATACCTATATACCGATGACGATGCCGTTTTCTGGTGCCAAGCCAGCTAGAACCTCTTTGTCACACTACCCGACCAGGTTTTTGCTGCTGAGTTCATTTCAGGTCAAGTTAGGTCAAGGTCAATTACTATATGTGTTTGTATGTCTGTGTGTGTCTGTGTGTATACTGATGTGTGCACCGATTGTTTAGGTATGTGTCCATATCACATGAAATCATGATCTGAGAAGCTTTTACCAAAAATGCAGTAAAAAAAAACTTCACAAAAAGTAAATTCCAAACGCAATTA